TATAGTGTGTATGTGTGTGTGTGTGTGTGTGTGTGTGGCTTTTCATTGGTGTATTTCTGAATTTTCAAAATAATTTTTTTTTTATGGTCGTCTAACATATGGATTCTCAAAACATTTCGGACACTCGTAGCAATTATTTTAGAGAACTGGATCAGTTTCAAATATTATTTTTGTTCATGGTTCAGACAATCAGTTGTCGTATGGTGGTGATTTTGTTTTGCAATACATTTTTTATTTACGATAATCTTTTGTCTATTTGAGGTCTTGAATTTGAATAAATTATAAATGTGGAGGAAAAGTAGCTCAGTCTTATTAGGGTTGTTAAGGATATCAGTCAACTTCACCCCTCCTTCCAAGTTGTTTTTTCTTGTCATTTTGCTTTTTATACCCATCAGTCTGTGTCTATAAAACCATCATGAGTGTTCCGTTTTCACTTTCTTAAAATCTTTTCTAGTCCAGAAAACTTGTGGTTGTAATAGTAGCATAGTAAAGTCCATCCTTTCCCCAAGTATAATCAAATAACACATGAAGTTATTATGACACTTTTGAAGTTGATCAAATAATTGTTTTTTGGGGTCGAAATGCTTAAATTGCAGTGTTCTAGTTCTTTTGGTGTTCATTTTGTTCAAGATTTATGGCAAGAACATTAGAGACCCATAATAAATTAACTTACTTTAAAAAAAATTTTCCGATCAAGGGACCATCTGAGTTCTAGCCCTTCGGCCTGTAACAATAAACTAACAGACCGTTTGTAAATTGTCAGCTTACTGAATGTGTAACATCATCTGTTTCAGCTGCGGAGTCCACACCAAAGGAGAAAGTGTTCAAAGAAAAGGAAGGTATGCTCAACCGGCGGCGTGGGGCCATGCGTCGTCGGGTTCATCAGGTCAACGGCCACAAGTTCATGGCAATGTTCTTCAGACAACCCACATTCTGCTCGCTGTGCCGGGACTTTATCTGGTGAGCAAAATGTTTGTCTCTTTCATTATAATTACACCCTCTGGGAACTGTGTTTAGTGGTAGGTCACAGAGAAGTTAATAGATGAGCAGACCAGGGTTCTTCAAATTGAGGATCTTTTGTGTAATGTAAGGTCTCACTGACTGGGTGCCTAGTCATACTGTTTTGTTTTTGTTTTAGTAAGGTTTTACCGGGCTCGCAACTGCATAAGGTCATATGAGTGCCAAGGGGTGGATGTCAACAGAGAAGTCCAAATGGGGAATCAGGCTTACTCTGCTCACTGCCTCAACAGCACAAAGTCTGCTTCGACTGTCAAGGCGCCCCGGAAATAGCAGTTCACAAGAGAGTGACAAACATACAAAAGAAGTAGAGGAAAATTGACGATAATAATGATGAGGAAAGAAAAAGCAGCAGTTCCCCCAGTGTTGCTCCGGCACAGTATGAGCATGACATTGATAAATTAGCCCATTTACAATTCTACTGTGCCTAAGAACATGTTAAATCCCCCTTTGTGAATGGCCTAAAGACAATTTCAGTCAGAGTTAGTAGCACTGCCCTGGTGAGGGGGTGGAGGGGTGGGGGCTAGTCATGCAAGGAATAAGCCAGTAACGTAAACCTTTAATGACAAAAATAAATGGCCACTGGTCACTTAAAATAAAGGCGTAAGATAAGGCAGGGTTACTAGTCAAAAAGACCTTGTCTTGGAAAGGCAACTGAAATGTTGATTGTATTTTATGCTGTTTAGTCATACAGTGCAGTATAATATCAATAAAATAAAAATGTGCAATTTGTTTTTATCTGAGAATTGGTAGATCCATGAAGTTAAACAAGTTTGTTTTGAACTTTTCCCCCAGGGGTCTTGGCAAGCAAGGGTACCAGTGCCAAGGTAAGTGGGTTTCATTTTTGTTTTTTCTGTTTGTGATGCCCACAAGGATAGCTCTTACGAAGCCAGCATGAAGATTTTGCTGAAATTAAGATATTTAAGGCCTAAGCATAGTCTGGCTACTTTTTAGCTGTACATTTTGGGTGCAGAGTTGGAAGTTAACTTGAGCGTTAAAAGTTTGTTAACGATCTTGCCAAAAAGTTTAAATGGGCGCCCTGCAATTACTCAGACTTTGACAGATTCAACACTTTGTTGTACAGTACCTTTTCAGTATAAGCTCAAGAATAACGGGATTTTTTTTTGGTGGGGATAGTAAATCATAAATATTTATACTTTTTCTTTTTCTTGAGCATCCTTTCCTGAATTATTGCTGTAACTTGAGAAACAATACTGCTGTTGCTTGGTTGAATCACTCCATATTTTACTGCTGCTCCCATTGTCTGAAAAAATAACACTGCTGTGAATAACAAAGTTTTTCCATGTCTCCCTTTCTGTCGCTGAGTCTTTTAAGTTTTGGCATTGCCACTGCTTTTTGGAATGATAGTTGTAACTTTAGTACTTATCAAAATTTAGGTATTGCTCCATCTTTTAGCTCAACTGCATTTTATTAAAACTGTAACGAACGTATGAATTAGTGATGTGTGAAGCAACCTTCACCTGCGTTGACACTAAGTCATTTCCCATATGCTTTTTATTTTTCAGTGTGTACATGCGTGGTTCACAAGCGATGTCACCAGCATATAGTCACCAAATGTCCCGGTTCCCGGGATGTAGCTAATGATGAGGTAAGTGCGATTTTTTTCTGTGTCTCTCTTTCTCCTTCTTCTCTCTCACTTTCTGTCTGTCTGTCGGTCTGGCTATTGAACGGCAGCTTCAACTTCAGCTCCCCAAAGCTGCAAACATGGGTCAATGGGTTCAAGTTTCCGACAACAAAAAACGAGTTGTATTCATTTTTGTCTGTCACGCAAATTTGTGCTACAGCCAAGTCTGTTTTTATATGGGGAGAAAATTCCCTATGGAATAGAAGCTAATTTTTAAAAAACCCAACTCGTTTTGCAGACATAATCTTCATCAATAAATGTGTGTGTGCCTAAAGAAAGGTGTCAAAAGTCGGATTTTGACCATTTTGAGTTAAGAGTTGTGTCTTATAGGAAATACTAAATGCTGAACACGGGTCTTTGAATTTTTTAAAGATTATCTCAAGTAATTTTTTAGATATTGCACATTTTGCGAGGTAGGGTATAAAAATAGAATTTTGAGAAAATTAGCTTTTAAGTTTAACAAATGTGAGAAAACTTAGAAACATTTGAAAAACGATTTTTGAAATGTATTTATTCATGGAAAATTCATGTCGTATTTGGCATTCAGTCGACATCAATATCATGAATGGAATTCAATGGTAAAACATAGCAGAGAAGAGAAAATGTGCTTCAAGAATACATTTTAACACCTTTTAAAAGCAGTTTCCATAATTTGTTTTTATTATACCCTACCCTCAAAATAATTCAAAATAAAATATTTAGAAGTTAAAAACCCTTTGAGTACATTGTAAAAAAATGGTGGATCTATCATTTTTTTATGGAAACACATTTTGGTAAAAAAAAGTGATATTTTTTGTCATTATCAGCCTGTAGCTCGAAACGGGTCTGGGGCGACTTCAGGTACCTTTCTCTAGGCGCGCATACAAATGATCACATTTTCACCATACCTAAAAGACCTAAAGATGAGTGTCAGAGTGTTTTCAGCGCCTTTAAAATAAATATTGTCCCAATAGTGAATGGGGAGAAGGCACAGAAACATTTCCTCACCTCTTTTGTTCTTACCTCATTTTCGTTTTTCTGCTGGGATTTTGTACCCCTCTCTGTCCAGGTTGGAACTGAAAGGCCCCTAAATCTCCTAAATGATCTAAATTATGTGAATAGGAGTGTAAAAACGCCAACTTTGATTGAAAATCCAAAATAATCTTGATTATGGACTTTTATTGGTTTTAAAATGTCATTGAACCTTTTATCATACCAACATACCCGCTATGGCGTTTATCAAAATCGAACATGGATAGAAGTCTGAAAATTTATAGCAAAAATTCTACAAACCGAAATACTTACCTCGAAGCATAAAATCAACCTATTAACAGATAACTTGATGCAGACTTTTCACCGACAGTTTTAAAAACAACACCTCATTAGGAGCTGATGCCTGTGTAAAGCCAAATTGTCCTGCCCTCATATTTAAATTAATAGTATATAGTATATGCTGTTTTTACACTTTTACAGGAAAGCAGAAAAGCTGAACGTTACCAATGGAAACATTTATTGCCCTAAAGATAAAAATAAAAAGGAAATTATTATCAAAATTGTATTATTAATAATATTGACTTAGGGTGCTTGCAAAGAGTTTGTTTTCTTGGTAACATTGGATTTATTTATTTTTTTGGCCCTTCTGTAAAATTGTAAAATCTGCATGTAGATCTACTGTACTTTAAAAATTATGGCAATGTTGGTGTCCTTCCACTACTGCCTCAGTCATTTTTTCAAGTTTCGAGACAATTTAAGAAAGAGCGAGCGCCCGGATCAGAACCATTGTTTGGACATTCATTTTTCAGTGAAAAACAAGGAAGGAAATGGTAAAGCAAAATGAAACTACATCATAAGATGCCCATCAATGTCTTTATTGGAAAAACAGCTGTATCTGAAAACCCCAATAAATTCATATAGATGATTGTGGAATATCGTTGACGAAATAATTTGTTCGAGAAAACTCCATTGAGATGCCTCAGTCTATCTTGCTTCAAGGTTACTGCATCTGAAATTACCTTGAACACGATAATCAAGTCTTCCTTCCTAATTTTTTTTCTGACTCTTTCTGTTGTTTAAAATAATTGGAGCATTCTGACATCAGAATTTTGAATTAAACTTCTTTTTTAATACATCTCAGCCATGTTGGTATTGCTGGCAATTAGACTGTTGATCATTATGCAAAAGAATTCTGAAAGATTTCTCAACAGTTAATACAGTCATATTCTATTCTCCGACTTGACAGAATTAAAGAACACAATGTGTCTGCCTGGACTAATATTTGGGACCAACAAAAATATTTTTTCCCCCCTATTGAAAGTTAGGAAAATGAAGAGGCTTCAAGATTATACCAATAACTCCATATGCTAACATACTGACGAGTGCCTGATTTCTTCATGTTGCGACACGTACACTCAATTTAACAAACTTCCTTGTCTCATACTTTGGTGCTGTTCCAGCAATTTGTCTAATTAAATCATACATGTGCTCAAATTAAGTCTAAGCTTTGTAGTAATAGTCTTTGTATCAGTCTAAATTCCTTCCTGATCATTGAAGTCACAAGTCATTAGTCCCTCTTTCCTTTCTCCGCGCCCCAAATCTTTCTCTGATTAAAATTCTAAGATCATAAGTATTTAGGTCATATTTCTTATGAATCACATTTCGTTAAGTAGCAACCTGTGTGCCTTTATCAGCGTCTGTGGTGTAGTGGTCAGGCGATTCGCTGTCACATGCAGTAGACTCGAGTTCAATACCCTAGTGGGGAGTTTTATTGAGTACGGTATCTCAATCTTTTTGCTGGGAATCTGTACCTCTCTCAGCCTGGGTTGGCCCTGACAGGCAGGGTCAAATCCCCACTCCCTTAATCTTAATTGTGTGAAAGGCGGCATAAAAACACAAGACATGAAAAAAAGCATGCCTTTAGCAATTTAGGGCTTCGACTAATATTATATGACGGTCTTGCTGTCCCTACATCTCTGGAATATATCCACTAAATCCCCTTGGGGGGATCGAGTAAATGAATACATAAATCATGAATAATACACAATATCATAAACATTGACAATCCACACACATAGCCAGTTGCCACTGTGCTGCATCCTGTTTTTTAGTAAAATTTTTAGCAAGGGATTATCACAGGCCTTGTTCGAGGACATCATACCCCCAGGGACCACCCACCTTAGGTATCTAAATGCCTTGTCACAGACACATGATTGACATTATTGTGAGCTTGAGCTCACTAACAATCAAGTTGATCTATTTTCACCAATATCACATTCAAACGTGAGCTAACGAAATACAATCCAATAGATCAGGGAAAACAGTAATGTTATTTTTAAAAATAATGGAATTGGAAATAAACAGTGGCTCAGTTTTAGAGTTATTTTATAACGATACAAAACCATGGAACCGACAATTTTACAAATCATTACCCTCAAAATCATGAGAATCTGGCTCCATCATGATTTTACATGTATTGAATGCTACCTTTGTTTAAATTTTGAGGTTTGGAGAGAGTGTGAATTCTTTTTTAAAATGATATAAAGGTCAGGCCACCAGAATTATATAATATATAGGTGGTAAGCCATTGTGAGTTAATTGGCCTTGTATAATTATGCTCACCGAGATGAAGCTGTAGACTGTCACTAATGATGAGAGGTTGGAGAAAAAGCCGGATCCTAAAATTACCTACAAGCGTGGATTAAATAGTAATTAAAGTTGTGAAATATGGAAATTTGTAGTCCCTTGAAATATGTTCCTTTGACTTTGTCCACAAGACACCAGCCTCTGCAGCCACTTCTGATAGGCTCAGCAATAGTCAGCTTCTGGTATGATTCACAGCTCTTAATTTACAGCGCTTGTTTTGGCCTGAACAGGCTTAAGGTTTAGTCCAACAAGCTATTTCAGAGTAGGAAATGACCAGGAGAAGTCACGGGGAGCTAAGTCAGGACTGTAGGCTGAATGAGTCTAAACTTGGACCCCTTTCTCTCGTATACCCACAGAATTGTGGCCTTTGCTTTATGTGGAGCTGTATTGTCATGGAGGAGCATTGTGCAAGATGTTCTGATCTTTGTTTATCTGTAATCAGTGCATTTGCATTTTTAACAGCACTGCGTTTTACACATAGTAAGATGCCAAAATGTGTAAACTACAAGGGGACCACTGTAATTGAAAAAGACAGTTAAAAAAAGGGTCAACAGGTCTCAGATGCAAAAGCTTTTTATCTATTTTCCACTTTTTATTGAACCATTATGATGGAATTTGGAAAAGAGAATCCATGTTGTCTCCAATGACAATGTCAGTAAGCCACTTGGGGCTCATAGGCTTAAATATTTTTGGTAATTCTGTGGTAAATCTCACCCTCTCTTTTGCTTATCAATAGATAAGATATCCAATGAACAAAACCTTCTTTTTTTTCTTTGGAGTTCTCCCCAACATTACTGAAGGGTGGCATTGGTAGCCTAGTGTATAAGCTACCAGACTTGCTATTGTGAGATTTAGGGGTTCGAGCTTCAGCTTGTTTCAACATTGTTTGCTTGGGAAAGGCACTTTAGGCAAATTTCCCATTTGGTTTGGTCCTTTAGCTCTTTAAGCCCTGAGTTTTTTTCTCCGTTTCTCTGAGTTTTTTTCTAGTCACCTAAACCTAGTGCACTATGTCTCATTATAACTCTAAAAGCTTCTCTCCGACTTCTAAATAGCGGAAACAAAGGCTTAGTCGTTACTAAAAAACTTAGTTCGCGAATAGTTCCGAAAAACAAGAAAAAACTAGCACTAAATAAAATGGAACAGTTGTCACTAGTACTGGATGCTCCCAGCGTCCGATGGGGTTCAAAGAGTTAAGAGGTGAACATTTAGTTCAAAGGTCCCCCCACCTCTCAAATATCCTAATAAATGTGTGGTTAGAGGATGCCATTTTATAGGTTATGTGTTTTGCTTTTGTACGACTGAAGTCAAAATCTTAACCGCTAGAAAGCAATTATTTTATGATCCTCCAAGGTAGTTATGCATTACTGTTCCTGTATAATTAGGTTAGATTTATCTTGGGTATAGGAGCAGGGAATGATCGGATTGCTGTAATTAAGTGAATTGCCATTAATTTCCTGAGGTATGGATTAGTGACAGAAAAAAAAACGTGTCATTCTCTTAATTATTCCCCCTCGAAGCCTTAGAAAACTTAAGTTTTTGATGCTCAGTGCATGTGTCTAATCCAATAAGTCCATAGGAGAAATGAACATTTCGTCAGATAAAAAAAAGGGATGGAAAATTCTTAAACAATTATATCATGTAGGGTATGGCTTTGTGATACTTTTCTCAACTGATCAACAATGATGTTGTTGCTTTTTTTTTATTAGACTGTCCTAGAAGTATAAAATCTTGCTTGAATTGTTGTTGGCGAATCTTTATTATAAGGCTGTTTGTTTGTTTTTTTTCCTTTTTAACACCATTGAAGGTACTCTTTTTTAGATTGCTTTATTGCATAGTTGAATAATTTAATCATGGTCTTTTTTTTATAGGGATTATGACTTTGTAGTGGAAACAGTGGAAATATGTTTTTCTCTATAAGATATTCCATGATCGTTACAGGGATAAGATGTTCACTCATTACTGCTTCTATGCCAACAGGCAGTAAATCGAAATCTAAGAAATAAAGTGGGGGGGGGGGGGGATTTAAATTATCAGTTATAAATGTTGAAAGCATCTTTCATCTAACACTGAAACCATAATTGGCTCAGATAGAATTAAAATGAAATGTAGGTTGTGAAATGTTAAGAGGTTTACATTGATAGTCCTGTATTTAATAGTCTTATTAATTTTTTCTTAAAGGAAGATTTAATATAGGAAATAAGGTTTGGGTTTTAGTTGGGATGCAGTTATGTCAAGAGAAAAAAAGCTGTGTTGAGTGTTGTCCTTCTTTTCTTCGAAGGTCACCATGACCCAGCAAAAGAAATACTCTTGGTCTCCAGTCAATAGCTTCCCAGATAAAAGCAGGGTCTTGCATTATGGCAGCGAGGAACTTAGATCTTCCTTTATAGTTATCTCTTGTGCACATTCCAAATCGACAGTTCCCGTCTCATAGCATGATGGTTCCTGTAAGATACAGGTCAGCCATAAAATGACTCCTTTTGCTTGGAACGGATGGAAGTGAAGCATACACCACATGCCCTTCTTTACTAGTCTAAATTGTGACTTTGCTAGAGAGAAAAGATTTTATATTATGTGGATAGTTGGTGGGTGCTCTGGTGTGGTTTACTCCTTCTTTCCTATCTATCGTCCTTATCTTTCGTCCTTTTGTATTGTTGTTACTCTCTTGTAATGCCTCTGATCTTCAGCACATATGCCATGACCTAATTGTGTTGCAAGTGCCGTAAAGCTCCTACTAAAACAAAGATGTTATATAAATGAGATGTGAAGCAGAATTGCTCAATGAGGAAACTCAGTGACTGGCCGTGCATAACAAGCGGACAGTGTGAGAGGGCTTTGTGGTCATTTTATGGCAGTCGATGTCTGTGATTTCTTGGCATAGGAAAACTTAGCACCTGGGGGTGAGCTCACCTCAATGATGTAACCGACAGCAACCCACTTTGGGAGATCAGGTTTGAGGTACCTGGGTAGTTCACATTGGTAGGTGAAATGTGAGGGGTACTTACTTTGATTATCCCCTTCAAAATTTGCACAACTGCAATTTCATACGAGAGCATGCTTTTCTTGTCACCGGAAGTGCGACGCACTATGAGGAAGTGACCACTATACGGCTACTTTGAAACTCAATATAATTCAACTTTTTTTTTTCCCCCTGAAATAAGTGATGAGAGAATGATGACTGTGATAGGCTTTGATTCTGAGGGCTACCTTTTTTGATAATTGGACTTCATTTAAAGGAGCTTTCACCCCATGTCAAACCTATTTTGCATCTCACCTGTATCTATGTCAATCTCCCATATTTATTTATATTGTCTGCGATTCCCCCCAGATGACATTGGAGGATGCTCCTCTTAAATAACCTAATAGTGTTGATAGGGGCGTTAAACCTATACCTTGACCTTATGCAGTTACTAGCGTCGTAAAATTGCGAATGGTGTAAAGCTCTGACTAAACTTAAAGAACTGAAACCTATTCCAGTGGTTGGTTGGCAGGTGCTCTGGTGTGGTTTGCTTCTTCTTTCCTATTGAACATTTGTCTTTATCTACCCTCCTTCTTTTTTGTTTGTTACTCTCTTGTAGCACCTCTAATCTTTGGCTCATCTGATATGACCTTATTGTGTTGCAAGTGCCGTAAAGCTCTTACTTGAACAAAAACCTATACCGTTTCACCATTTTTTCTCCAGGTGACGGGCAAGCGGTTCAACATCAACGTACCACACAGATTCAACGTACACAACTATAGGCGGCCAACCTTCTGTGATCATTGTGGCTCTCTGCTCTACGGGCTGGTGAGACAGGGACTGCAGTGCGATGGTGAGTGTTGGTGCTTGTTATCCTTTTAAAGTCAGAGTCCACTTTTGCACCTTAATTGGTTGCTTTTAAGGACATGCGAGCAAACCCAGATTTCGAAGGTTTCCAGAAATCTTGGCCTACACCAAAAGTGGGCATTGCCCTACCTGTAGGAGAAGTTTGGTTTCATTGTTGTGTATATTTGTTTGGTTATAGAGAAAGCTCCTTGTTCTTTTAAGAAACTGAACAAGGGGCAAAAGCTTTACCTTTGATTTTCTTTCTCAAAATAGCATTTTTCGAGATAGTACCCTTATGCTTAAAAGCGACCAATTAAAGAGGTTAGAATTTTTGTACCACCCACCCACTAGTATTACTACTCGGGTGATCCCCACTGCCTACCAAACCTACCAAAGCGCTATCACCTAGGTTGGCAAACATTGGTGAGTGTGTAGTAGTTCAACACCATGAGGCTTCTTGTTTTAGTTAGATCTCCTTTTCGCCAAATCCCTGCATCGTAACATTGTACGTTCCAGGAACTTGCACAGTATTTGATGTGGATACCTCTGCACACCAATAACTGGTTCTGTTCTGTCTTGTGTATTCGCAGTGTGCAAGATGAACATTCACAAGAGATGCCAGAAGAATGTGGCGAACAACTGCGGCACGAACACCCGAGACATGGCCCAGATCTTACAGGAGATGGGCATATCAGGGGACAAACTTAGACCCAAGACCAAAAAGGTACCTCTTTTTCCTTTCTCTTTCTCCTACCATTTTTCTTCTTACTCATGCCGTTTTAATATTTTATTCCTTGATTTCAGCATGTCTCAAAAAAGGCGTAGCTTCCCAGATTTTACTATTCTTAAATTCCACTTTAGCAGTCTTTGTCTTCCTGCTGTCATGTTGTCTTCTTTTATCAAGTTGCAGGTGTCATTTTTATGTCTCTTTTCCTCATCTCTCAATCTTGTCGTCCTGTTCTACAGGATTACTTTTCGTACATGTTTGTCAAGAAGTATGGCCCAAATTACTTACTTTTAGTCCTCGCTCTTTGCTTTGAGTTATTTCTTCATGTATACTATTTTTCATTTGTCTGTATTTGTAATATAATTTTCAAGATTGTATGGAAAGAATCTCAATTAATTTCAGTTTCAGTTGTGTGTTTTTATTGTTCAGATATGAGGTTCCGTTTGCTCTTTTCAAAATTACAAACATAGGTAATATTTCTTAAGTGTGCTGTCAAAGGTTTTGTATTTCCCATTTGGCTAGCGTTCTGCAGAACTTGGGTTCACGCACTTGAGTCTCAGTGTCAGTTCCCCTATTCTATGTGTTGTCTTCTTGTGAAATGTAATATTTATGTTCATAGTGCTGCTATGTTGGGCATCGAAGACTTGTCCCTTTTCCCCTTGTTACTGCAGTCTGTTTTCCTGCTCCCCCCCCCACCCCCATGTGCACACATATCACCAATGGTTCAGTTTCTAAATGATCTCTGACTTGTGTGGGTGGTGGGCAAGTCTTTTTGTGTGTTCTCCTTTCCTACTTCCTTTTTTTTTCTTTTCGCTTTTTGTCTTCTTTTAAGTGTAAATGTAAATCAAATTTTCCTACCCCAATATGTTATACAAATGGTCTGGTAGTGTTAAAACTGTCAAAGCTGGACTGATGGCCCAGGTGTAAAGCTTGAAGAAGGACGCCAATGTTGTGCTTTGTGTCGTGTTGTTTGGAGCACACTTGATCTAATACTTTGTGGCACCAGTTTTATCATGTATGTCATTGTTGGAAGTTTTCTTCAGAAATGGATATTGTTTGTGGAGTACTCAAAGAGGGTGGTGGTTGGTGGGTGTGATTTCTGATTCGTGATTTGGTTTCCTCCCAATTTCTTACTCAATGTTGTTCATGATATTTCCTGGCTTCACATCCTAATAGTATCGAAATCACTGAGGTTGACATCTTTGACAAGCCGGTTTCTCCTCCTTAATCAGAATTACTGTTGTTCTCCGTTTGTTTTGGCACCTACATCTGAAATAAGCCAGTGGTATGGTCAGACCTCTGTCTCAACCACTCAAAATGTCTTTTGTTCGTGTTGCTATTGTCCTCTGTCGTTCAAGTTACAGTAAATGTGTTAAAACACTACCCACCTTCAGCTGTCCTGTTTGGAAAAAAATAATTTGCAGTGCCTTCCTTCCCTGCCGTGTCATTGTTTTGTCCTGACACAACCCTTGTATAAAGCTCACTGTAACTTTGTGCGTTCCTCTGCAAATGTCACGTTGGATCGTGTAGCGTTTATATCACACGTGGTAACATTCTGTTTTAAAAAATCTTTAAAAATCATTGTCAGGGAAATTCTTCTGTCAGTCTGTGGTATCTTTGATGAGAGAATTTTTCTGTAGATTCATCACTTTCTGATGTCTTTAATGTTTTTTTGTATTTTAACATGTGTTGGTCGGGCACAAACAACCCTGTTGTTGAGCACGCTCTTGTCCATGTGTCGTCATCTGATGTACTTGCTTCTCAGGCATGTTTCCCTTCCTCATTTTTCATATACCCCCCTTCCCCCCATCCCTTCTTTCCCCACACCCTTTCTCCAAATACCCGTCTTCTCCACTTCACCCTGCTTCTTCTCTCTGTCTTTCTTGCCCAACCTCCACAAACATTGTTCGCTTTCCTTGATGAGTTGGTGTTCATTGTTATCTACACCCTCCCCCCTCTCTTCACATCATGTATTCAGAATATTCCACAAATGGAAATAGTTTAGTTATATATTGCACACTTGAAATCCTTTGTTTGAAGATATTTTTTTTTTCAGAGAAAAGATTTGAGATAATAATATTATCTCAAACAAAGCAATTAAATTAATTCCCCCCTAGTTTAGATAAGTTTTGAGAAAAATTGTGTTCAGTGACGTCGTCAGTTGTTCAGTAAATTGTACTTGAAATCACAGCAGGGATACTCCTACTTGTGCTCTATATGTATGCTTGTCTGTTTGATATTGGCCCAGGTCCACTGTAGGCTTCTCTTTTCCACATTCTCAAGTGTAAAATTATTTTAAAAACTGCTCTTGAACAGTATTGAAAACATGCATTGCTGCAAAATTTATATTTACCAAATCATATCAGATTTGTTTTTGTTTTTTTCTATGAAACTAAAATTATAGTTTCTTTCCATATCCCTCTCCTGCCAAATTATTTTCTGGGGTCTATTGCAGACAGTACTTACCAGATAATAGTTACTCTTGTAGAGTTACAATGTTGCTTTAAAAAATATTTTTTTAAATCTTAAGAAGAATAAAGTCATAATCGATAGTCTCCTTCCTTAAAAAATCTACCATAGTGTAGAGTGATAGTGTTGCCTGGGTGTGGTTTTTATTAATTTTTTGTTTGTTTGAAAAAATTGTCAACACAGCAGTAAGAAATGCAGTTTGCAGTGTCTTTTGTGTATCAAGATCATCCTTCCCCACCCCATGAAATGATCAAGTTGTATATTTGTATCTCCATAAATGATATGGATTGTCGTGCTTAAGACACGCATATTGGTCATAATTGACTTTTCTACTTGTAACCATTCTTCAAGTTGCAATTTCTCACCCAGGTTAATTAATGATAACGAGTCTCTCAAATTTGTAGTAGTGTGTTAAAATATAGAAGTGATTTTAACTCATGCTTTGAAGTCCTAAACTTCTCTAGAGGGTAGTATTTTCTCTTGGCTTTCCCTCCCTTTCATCTCTGCTTTCCAGAGATTCTAACAAGTTGTAAAGCTTTTTTCCCCCCCTTTTACTACTAACCAACAATTACATATCAAACGTTACTCACCGCTTTAATTCAACATATCTAAAAAGACTTGGAGTCTCTCGGTGGAGTGAAATTAACAGTCTGTGTAATGCATATTAACTGATAATATTTTAAAGTAACAGTTGAAAATGAGATCTTCTATTCCAACAGCAAGGTTATTACATGCAGTGCTTGCAGGTGTACTCAGCAAATGAGTTTTTGTCTGTTGTTTTCAGCTGCTTTTATGGTGAACAAAAGACAATTATAATGAACATTTGGTAATATTTGCACTGGACTATAAAGGCTGTTACTTTTTTTCCTCGAGTGACTTCATGTTCACATGTATCTCTGAATAAAAATGTTATTATAACCCATGTTTTTTTACTTTCATTTTCAGCTATTTTTTTATAATGACTAGCAATTTATGTATGATTAAAAAGGATTCAACATGTGTGGAACATATTGTAATACCATGTTTTCTTTCTCTTTTTCTCTCTCTTTTCAGCTGTCAATAAGTGAGTCCCATGAGTCCCCAAATAAAAGTTCCCCCATGCATGAGAGATCTTTATCATCCCCTATACCTGTGATCCAAGGTGAACCACGTGGCGCCGCTTGTGTCACCTCAAAGAATTAAATGCAGTCGAGCTCGAGACTCGCCACTCGTCACTAGTAGCAGTTTCCTTAGAATTTCCTGCTCTTCACTACTTTTTGTTTAGTTTTTTGAAAAATGAAAATGCTTTTTCTGAACTGTTTTCTTTTGGAAAAGTTTTTGTTTTTAGGTTTGAATTTTGAAAGGGGAGCAGTGGTTATTTTGGAGTTGTTTGTAAAAAGAGGGTCCTTAAATTTGCTGAGGGTTTGATACATATATTAGGTTGTGATCTAGATATTGAAGTTAATTCTATTACTTTAGTGGTTTCTGTTTGGTCTTTTGTTGTCTGGCCTCCAAGAGTTTTACTTTTACATCAAAGCTCAGTATTTTAATGATACACAGTATTATAATGAAACACTTCTGATCATAATATATATATATATACATATCCATTCTAAAGTGGAAATCAGTCGAAACTGTCCTAGACAACCACCCATTGTCAAAGAAAAGTGGTCATCTGAGACGAGTGGTCCTCTTGGATCAGTATAATAAAGAAAAAACGCAGAGGGGGGAGTGGGAAATGGTCATTATTACAGGTGATTGTCAAGGGCAGATGGTCTTTAGAATAGTTTAGACTGCACTGGTCAACTACTAAACGTATCTCTCTTGCCTTTTCAACATTTAAAATTTGTTGAATATTGACAAGATATTTCTTGAGCACATGCAACCGGCACAGAAAAAAGGGAAGACATGAAATAACATAAAGAGGCTAGTCCAGGATAGAGAAAGGTGGAAAGTGTTTGTTTATGGCCTATACCCTGATTCAGGGTGAGAAAGGCAATGATGTTGTTAATGACATACAACCGGTGTCACAAATTAAGAAACTGTTATAACAAACAATTGTTTCAAATTTTAGGCATAGTATATCTGTACAGCTGGCATACATGTTGGCTCCATTGGGTTTGACACCTAAAACTAACAAGGCATTGTTTGAAGACATTTTTTATCAATTTGGGATGAGTCATGAAGTATGAAGAAGTGGAATTTGGGAACTATATTCAGTGAAATGATATATTGGGTATGAATGAATGCTATTTTGGGAGAGTATTTTAAACTGACTAGAGCAAATTGCTAAAGAGGTTTTATCCATAATGAGAAGTGTTTCGTGGTAAAATTCTTGGAGGTCAAATTAGATTGAGTTTTTATTTTTATATTTTACAATTTTTATTTTTATTTCGTTTTTTCCTTCTGTTTTGTGCCAAGGTTAGTGGACGTTTAGTGACTGGCTCTTTTCTTTGACTTTCAGACTCTGATGAGGCACAACCCGGCGAGATGGGGCTGCCCAGCGACAGTCTACCGGTCAATGCTAGCAATGAGCATCAGGGTTCCCGTACACGGAGCCCCTCCAGTGACCGCTCACGCTCCCACCACAGTCGCATCAGCTTGCACGACTTCAATTTTATCAAAGTCCTGGGCAAAGGCAGTTTTGGAAAAGTGAGTGATCACGGAGTCTTTTGAGGACTTAAGTTGATGAAAAAGTAAAACGAAGTACCTCTTCTATAGGTCCTGTAGTGTAATATAGTTTGTATTTTAATAGCAAGTTAGATATGTGCATGAAATAACTTGGAAATTTACTCCAATGTTTCATAAGTATGCATGTCTCACAAATATAAATAAGAAGGGAATTAGGGGTATTTAATTCAAGACAGTTGTAGCTAAATTTTTAAAACCCAGTTAAAATACATGTTAAATATTCTTTTTGTTTGTAATCTTTAAGAAGAGCTATGGTCATTGATTTTTTTAATTTTCAAAATTTCCAGTGTGCTAGTGTTTCTATTCAAGTGTAATTTACTCATTTTGTCTTTTTTCTTTTCCAGGTGATGTTAGCAGAGAAGAAAGGGACAGATGAAGTATATGCTATAAAAGTTTTGAAAAAGGATGTGATTATACAAGATGATGATGTGGAATGTACAATGACAGAAAAAAGAATATTAGCATTGTCAGCCAAACATCCTTTTCTTACTGCACTTCACTCATCTTTCCAGACGAAGGTAAGTTTTATCATACTTTTTTTTGGGGGGGGGGGGGGGGGGGGGCTGTTATTCTTTATAAGTGTTGTCTTTTGAGGAGGGGTGTGGGGTCTTTCAAGTGGAAAGAATTAATTCATTGACCCCCACAACTGATTTCTATAGTTTGATGGGGGGGTTTTATTTTTTTAAAATATAACAGCTTGTCTCGTTACTTTCACATCATGTGTTTTGACTCAAAACTTAAGAACGGACACAAAAATAAAGATGAAGGCTTGATGCCTAATACCGGCTGCCGGAAGTGGTCTCTCGTCTATCAAGGAAGGAGTTTCAGTCGCTGGGAACAGCCGCCCAAGATTAATGAGTTAAAGAAAATTTATGCTTCAGGGTCCATTTTGCCTTCAATATATGGTGTCTTGGGATTAAGCTTAATGAAGTCTGTGTTATGGAAGGCATGCTGCAACAGTTTATTTTTTTGCTAAGGCTTGTTCACTGCTTAGTTTATGAGATAAGTCTATTGCCTGTGAAAATGACTGCAGATTGTATTTTCTTTTTATTTTCTATATATTAGAGTTTCCGTTGTTTATTTTCAGGAACGATTGTTCTTTGTCATGGAGTATGTAAATGGAGGAGATCTCATGTTCCAAATTCAACGGGCTCGCAAGTTTGATGAGCCTCGGGCACGGTTTTATGCGGCTGAGGTGACATTAGCTCTTATGTTTCTGCATAGGCACGGTATTATATACAGGTGAGTCTTACTGAGTTTGTGTTGGTTTTTGTTAGATTTATGAATATTGATTTTGTTAATATACATTTTTTCAATATGAATTTGTGAAATGGTTTGAATTAGTCTCCTTATTTTTGTATTATGTTATTTGTCAACCACAGTTATGAGAAATATTAATTTCTTAAATTTGACTGCTGATTTTAGCCTTGCAATTCATTTTTACCAATATAGTTTTGATAAATAGAGATGTCGAAAAATTGTATGTGGGTGTTTTTGATTAGAAATTTGCTCTTACCATATTTGTATTTCCTTGAATGTTATCAACATGTGGTTACTTTTTAACAGGTTGATTATAATCATCATATTTGCTCATCTAGCTTGCTTCCTAATCTTTTGCTGTGAGATTTTTTATTATTATTTGCAGAACTAAAAAAAAACAAAAAAACTTTTCACATTTGACTTGAAGTGCTGTTTTTTTCCCCTCCATCCACTAACCCCTGTAATGGCTATTCATTGCTTTGTTTTATTTTGTAAGCAGCTTGCTATCACACCTTTACCATGAAGAGTTTCTTTAACAAGCTTGTATTCGCTATATAAAATATGCTAACCTCAAACTTGTATCATAAGTCGTATTATCACATAGATATCAAATCATATCAAAGTTTGTGTTTTTCGTTAGCTCTTTAAGCGTTTTCATAGGTTTCATCATGACATGCTCTTTCACGTATTGGGAGGGCTTTCATATATATATATATATATATATATATATATATATATATATATATTTTATTTTTTTTCCCCCTAAAAAAAAAATTTGTTTGGGTGATGTCGCCAATGCTCAAAGCATGTTAATTCTTGTGAGAAAGTCTTTGCATTAGTTTGCCCAGACAGTTGCAAGAAAGAAAAAAAAAGGTGCTGTTGAGAAGGAGGTTTTGTTTTCCCATTTTTTATATTTTTTTTGCTAGAGTGACCTTTGAGACTTGTTTTTGCTGTCTTTAAAAAAAACAACCATACCTTCTTATACAAACTGTTGGCAGTAGTAGTGTTTCCAACCTTCTGCGTGTTTGCGGATTTCCTGTTTGGAGTGCTGAGATATCTTATTTTTATTTTTTCATTTATCAATTTGTTGATGTGAACATTTGTGAGCTGTCATTAAATGTGCTGTTTTAAAAAATTTTTAATTAAAAAACTTAATCATTCATTTATCATGCGCTTTGTTTCTTGTGTGCGATATTTGCATAAGAGAACTGGGTATTTTTTGTCTCCCAAGAGACTGTAAATCCAGTTAATTTTTGCTATTATTGCATTAGTCGCATACCGTTATCTTGACATTGTGTTTTTATTTTATCTTTCACAAGCTTTTTCAGGCATGTTAGAAGGCCATTACATTAAAGGGATCGCACTGCCTCTTAAATAACCTATTAGTGGAGCGTTAAAGCTATATCATTTCATTTCAAAATGATCGCTAGTTTCGGAAATATTGAAATGAAATATTAAGTTTGCATTTTCTTTACTGTTAATGAAAAAAAAAATTTCAGTAGATTTTCATATATTGTCTCTGTAAATTTCCAATATTTTATTTTTGTCCGTTCCCAGAGATCTGAAATTAGACAACATATTGCTGGATGCTGAAGGACATTGCAAGATTGCTGACTTTGGAATGTGCAAAGAAGGCATGACAGAGAACAAATTAACGCAGACATTCTGTGGCACTCCGGACTACATTGCACCGGAGGTGAGCTCTTCGAGGGATGTTTGTTACTATGCTATTGTGGGTGGTAATTGTGAAAATTTACAGTATCTTCCCTGGGGGTTCTCATAGTCAAGAGGATGGTGTTCGCCTTTCTTTCAGTAGGTCCTGGGTTTGAAACCTGACTGACGGAAAATTTTCTTCTAAAAAATTTTCTCCTTCCACATTCTTTCCTGCTCTCTAATGATGTTCTGTCGTCTGCTTTCGTCCCCACTTTCTTGGAGGTCCCGTGTGCAAGTTTGCAAAGTCCCTTGGCCGTAATAAATCTATAAGGCTTGGCTTCGGCCACCACCCGGGCAAAATTTTAATTTGTTGTTGTTTTCAAATCCCTTTAGCTGCGAGCATTTCGCTCTTGGCAGCTCAATGCCTCCCCCGAGAGGCATTCATAGGTTTGGGGGCTGTAAAGGCTTGTATGCATCCCTGTAGGATCTCAGGTAGGTGGTAGTCTTATCCTGACACTGGCTTGTGCCCAAACATCTTGCCACAAGAGAACAAAGGTGCAATGTTCACTGTCCTGTTTTCCATCAACCTTCCCGGGGATTTCTTGGAAAGTAGACAACTTTAGAAGGGTGTAGGCACACTCTAGTTCTAAAAGATGGGAGCCACAAAGTGCAACCAATGACCAGTGATCGTCTGAGCAGTCCAGTAAGGGGTCCCATTGAGCAAGGGGTAACGCATTCCTTCCACAGCGAGTCGTCTACATCACCAAGCGTAGCTTGCGTTTGCCCAATCCCCGCCACCTGCTGTCTCCTGGCTATCTACTGTTAACATTTCCGTTTATGGAGCAGAATAATCCAAGGGATGGCCAAATCTACTCAGACAAAGGATCGTCACGTTATGGGTCAGCGAGCATTTGCCAGAATATCTGTAGGGACGTCATCTGTTTCCAGGCATCTGTTTACTGCTACAAGGCCTTCTGGGTCCGCAGAGACATCTCATGATGAGTCATCTGGCAGTCTGTGGGCACCATGCCCCGTCTGTAGAGCTCCCACGAGAGGGAGGGAAGAAGATGTCGACAGTGAGTTCCTGAATGAACTGGTCAGCCTCCTGTGACGCCAGACCTGCCGTAATAGTGGGTGTGTACAGAACCTTCTACGAGCCGAAGGGTAGTTGCTCACATCGCACCCCGCAGGGTATGGTACCTCCGGGCCTGAGCTCCGTCTGCAACCCCTGCTCCGATGCCTTTTTCCATTTCCACAGAGCAGGGGTCCCCAGGCTGCTCAACGACGACGGGGAGTTGACTTATTTGAGGCTGGCTTGCCAGAGAGCGTCTGGGGTTTCACACTCAACCCTTACAGCCCAAATTCAATATGAATTCCTATCAAACTAAAATTGTCTAGTGGAGTGATAAATACAATCTCTGCGCTCCAGCAGGAGGTGCAACCCCTTTAATCGTAGATAGAGTGAACAAAAGACCATTTGCACTTGAGTGTTCTTGTATGATGTTTACTTGTAATGATAAGGCTCATCACCATTGCCAGGGCTGCCCATCATTACAAATTTAGCGGAATCGTTAAAAGATTTTTATGAATTTTACTAAATTACGATGGTGACTCCCCTGATTCTGATTTTGGATACCACAACCCAATCCCACCCTCCCGACGTTTAGGGAAGAAAGGCAATCAGAGTCTTATGTCTCTACATTACCTGCAGCTTTTTACTTTTACACCCTCTGTGCGCAGAGCCCATGTAGTTGCGCAGTGCCATTTTGTTCATAGGAAAATACTAGTTGCACTAAGGCCTGGAGTAAGGCAAACATTTGTTCTGACAAGGTGTTTAAAAAAGTCCTGCGCTTTTTCATGGTGCATGACAGCCTAAGCCAGTTACAGAATTTTAAAAATTCGTTTTAGCTCAGAGTTGGTCTTGACAGGCAGAATTGGAATCCTACCTTCTAAATGATCTAAATTGTGTCGATACGGATGTAAAGTTAAAAAATTGTTACCCTCGAGTGTATTGTACAAGCTGGCCTTTTATTTAACCTGTTTTACCTGTTGTTTTTCTTCCCGTTGTTGTCAGATCCTGCAAGAACTCAAGTATGATGCCAGTGTGGACTGGTGGGCACTGGGCGTCCTCATGTATGAGATGATGGCAGGACAGCCGCCGTTTGAGGCGGACAACGAAGACGACTTGTTTGAGTCTATTTTGCATGACGATGTCCTTTACCCTGTCTGGCTCAGCAAAGAGGCAGTTTCTATACTCAAGGGGGTAAGTCATCGTAGTTTTGTGGTGAGCTGTGGATAAGAGCTGTGAGTGTTGAATCTAGGATCAATCTAGGATCATAAAGTTTAAAACTGCGACAGTCTGTTTTGAGATTTCGCTGAAACACTGAGAGGAAGGATAAGATGCCTTAAATACAACTGCTTCTTTGTTTTGGTGTAGTATGTCACACAGTAGTTATTAAATTTCTTTTAAATAAAGGTGGCATTTCCTCTCTATCAATTTGATTGTCTTATATTCATTGGTAATTGAATTTATTTTCGTATATTCTGTTTTAATAAAAACTTTTTTGGGGGGTTTCAAATGTCATCCACGTTAACTTATTTGTTTTGCCAAAATGTTTAATTCTCTGTCTATCTTTTCACAGTTTATGACTAAAAACCCTGCCAAGCGACTCGGCTGTGTTACTACCCAAGGGTGCGAAAAAGCAATCCTTGTTCATCCATTTTTCCATGAAAAAATTGATTGGGAAGCTTTGGAACAACGCAAAGTGAAGCCGCCATTCAAGCCAAAAATAGTAAGTGCTTCATTTGTGCTCAGCTTCTTCTTCTGGGCTTTAGATGTGCGGATTTACAATTTGTTTGGTTTTGTGAAGGCTATTGTAGTTTGACTTACGCTGATTGATATGTCCTAACTCTTTGTCTCTCGGTGCCAGTTGTAGATCCTAGTTCCCCCCCCCCCTGCCGGTGCCACTAACAAGTGTCTTTTTAGGCCATTCCCAAAGGGGGGACATTAACTTGTTCTTATGCACAGTGGAATTGTAAATGGGCTGATTCAACAATGTCATGCTCATAACTGTGCCTGAACTGCAACAGGGAACTGCTGCTTTTTCTTACCTAATCCTTACTATCGTCATTTTTCCTCTACTTGTTACCCCCTGGGGCAGTGCTACTGACTGAAGTGTCTTTAGGCCATTCACTTGTTCTTATGCACAGTAGAATTTTAATTGTAGATGGGCTAATTCATCAATGTCATGCTCATTACTGTGCTTGAACTTCAACAGGGAACTGCTGATTTTTTCCCCCTTATCCTTAATATCGTCATTTTCCTCTAATTCTTTATATATGTTTGTCACACTCTTGTGACCCGCTATTTCCGGGGTGCCTTAGTCGAAGCAGACTTTGTACTGTTGACGCTAGAGGGTTTAAGTGGATGGTTGGTGGGTGCTCTGTTGTGGTTTTGTCCTTCTTTCCTATCGAACATCTATCGTCCTTATCTCCTCTCCTTCTATTTTATGTTTACAACTCTCTTGTAACACTTCTAATCTTCTGGCGCTCATATGACTTTATGCAGTTGCGAGCACTGTAAAACCGCTACTTAAACTAAGAGGGTTGAGCAGAGTAAGCCTGATTCCCTGTGAGGATTTCTCTGTTGACATCCACCCCTTGGGGCTCATATGACCTTATGCAGTTGCAAGCGCTGTAAAACCTCTACTAAAACGAACAAAACAAGATCCTAGTTCTTTTCTTTCCATCTGTTGTTTCTGTCTGTCTCTCACTTTTTGCCTGCACTAAATACTCAAACGCCACCAGGGCAGTGCTACTGACTGAAGTTTCTTAAGGCCATCCCCAAAGGGGGGATATTAACATATTCTTATGCACAGTAGAATGGGATGATTTATCAATGTCATGCTCATACTGTACTGGACCAAGATTGGGGGAACTGCTGCTTTTTCTTTCCTCATCCTTACTATCGTCATTTTCCCTCTACTTCTTTTGTATGTTTGTCACTCTCTTGTGAACTGCTATTTCCGAGGTGCTTCGATAATTGAAGCAGACTTTGTGTTGTTGAGGCTAGAGAGGTGAGCAGAGTAAGCCTGATTTCCCATTTGGACTTCTCTGTTTACATCCACCCCCTGGCGCTCATATGACCTTATGCAGATGCGAGTGCCGTAAAACCTTACCAAAACTAAACTAAAAACTCAAATAAAAATCTCAGTTCTTGTGATTTGGTGAAAATTCTTTCTCTGTAGGCATTTCTTTAAGCTCACAATAGGTTTTCCTGATCGTAATAGTTATAGTGTGTAATGCGGGATATCATGTAAACAGAAAGTGAAAAATAACATTTGTAAAGTATCTATAAATGTGTGACTGTGTTTTGTTTCACCATGTGTATGAGTTATAACATGGTAAAAGAAAATTTAAAGTACAGGTATAAGTCATTAGAATATTAAGGTGTGTTAGTGAGTTCCATTGTACCTCAAAAGAAACCGGATTAGCCTCTGTTGTGTAAGTTGTGTAATAGATAAGCTGTTTGCTATTGCATGTAAAAACAAGGATGATTCTCGTGAAGGTAAATTCAATTTTATCAAGTACTTCCGTATTTCTGTTGGGATGTCTGTGTCCCACTCAGCCCAGACTGACCGTGATTAGCAAGATCAAAGCGGCCAACAAACTGATAAATTGTGAGGCAGTGTGGTGAAATCAGGCGCTTGTCAAAATAATGGAAACAAAGAAAACTGCATTTTTCACCGATGTGACAATTTTTAATCAAATTTTTGTTTTTGTGCTCAATTCGTTTAATGTCTATTTAAAAACATATTTCTGCTTTAATTTTTCTGAATAAAGTTGATAAAAGGCACTAAAATTGTAAATTTTCAGTTTCCAGGGACTCTCAAGCTATGTAATTCACTATACTTTGGTGGCCATTTTCTTGCTAATTTTGCTTTGGAACCAGGCAACCCCCTCCCCCTTCAGTTGCAAATATCTTGACTTCTTTTCAAGATAGAGGGGTATATTTTTTGTTAGAACCAAGACAAATGAACAAGCTTTAAGATGATACCAGTAACCCCACAAGTCCAAAAATTGACGAGCGCCTGATTCCACTGTGTCGCGATACAATTATTATGTTGGTGGGGAGGAGGTGTAAAGCGTGCAGTTTTGTACAAACTAGAGAAACTTGTGTTGCAACTTGAGTGTTTGTGGGTGGGTGGTTGGCGGGTGCTCTGGGGCAGTTTGCTCTTTCTTTCCTATCAAACATCTATCGTCCCGATATCTCCTCCTTTTTTGTGTTTATTACTAGCTTGTAACACCTCAGCACTTGTACGACCTTATTGTGTTGCAAGTGCCGTAAAACTCTTACTAAAACTAAAGTGTTTGTTCTCTTCTTTTCAGAAAAACAAAACGGATGCCAATAACTTCGACCGGGACTTCACGTCAGAGGACCCTGTCCTGACGCCGGTGGATCCGGCCGTGATAAAGACCATAAACCAAGAAGAGTTCCGCGGCTTCTCGTTTGCCAATCCAGACTACGGCAAGTTAGAAATGGAGGCAAGTGGCCAGGCGCACTGACCAGCCATCCGGGCAGGGGACTGCCCCGCCAAGCTCATTCTCCGGACCATTCACTTCAAATGATGATGGTGGCTGTGTTCTTTCTAGCTCTCTGTGTTTGGATTTGTTTTGTTTTGTTCTGGGGGCATTTAACAGTGTTTGTCTCATCCCCTGGCCTTCTTCTCATCTGTCTCTCTCTCTCTCTCTCTCTCTCTCTCTCTCTCTCTCTCTCTCTCTCTCTCTCTCTCTCTCTCTCTCTCTCTCTCTTTCTCTCTCTTTCTCTCTCTCTCTCTCTCTCTCTCCCTCCCCTCTCTCTCTCTCTCTCTCTCTCTCTCTCTCTCTCTCTCTCTCTCTCTCTCTCTCTCTCTCTCTCTCTCTCTCTCCCCCCCCCCCCTCTCCCCCCTTCTGCCCCCTCTCCTCACAATAAGATATTTGATTGAGGAGTTTCGTTCCTTCCTCAACAACCCCCCCCCCCCCGCCCCCTGACATTGCTACCCTCCTTCAACTTTCTCCAACATACTGAACTGAACGTGACCAAGGGAAAAGTTCTTCATCAGCTGTTAACAGTTTCAGTTTGGGTAATTTTGTTGTTTCTTTGAGGTTGAGTCTCCTTCTTTTGTCTCAGATTTATTTTTGGTTTGTTTCTGTTCTGTTTTAAAAAATTCTTTTTTCTAATTAAATGTAGGGTATCACAAATTTAGACACACACACTTGATATGTTTTTGTTGCATTCGATGACCATTCATTAGATAAAAGTTGCACCTTTTTGTTTCACAGAACTTTCCTAACATTGCTTGTGTTCCATAAGTTGTTGATGATAACAAGAAGCAAAAGTGGTGAATGTGTGAGTGAAGTGGTCCTTGTATTTCTGTGTGCATCTAAAAGACTACAAGTAAGTGATGGGCTTTTCTGTAGCTCTTCATGTCTGTGTCGTGTTCTAATAAAATGAGAGCATAAAAAAAAGAACAGGTCTGCACAAGGGAAATCCAGTGTTGAATAAGGGTGCCACTTTTTGTCAAATTTTTTTTCTGAAATCTGTGGTATCTTAGTTCCACTGGAACAATGTAATTGGGAAGATATCTCGCGTCACCTTTTAAGAAAACAAGAAAGAGGAGGAAAATGTCTTTGTAGGTTCGGGTTATACACCGTAGTCACTGATGTCCGGGATGATTTTATTCCTTCAAGCTCAAATATTTTCTGCTGTGGTTTCGTTGTTGTTGTCAGTAGTTTTATTTTGGAGAATTAATCAAGCTGTATTTTTAAGATGTAGTTCTAATCTCTTAAAGCAACAACTGCCAATGATTATGCTTACATAATGCTTTAACTACGTGTAGCTATGGGACGAAATGTATGTCGTGAATCTTTTTACTTTTCTTTACACTTACGACCTAACCCCTCCTCTAAGAAGCACTTTGAAATGCTATGGGGATTTTGGCGCATTTTGTTGTGTGGAAATTATTTCAAAGTCTCTATTCTATTGCACAAAGGTATATTTTTTATTTCAAAGTGACTTAATAAGATTCACCTCATCACTGCCTTGTTCTATGCCCACATCTCTCTTGAGAAGTGGCATAAAAAAAAAAAAGATAATAATGCATCAAACGTCGTAGTTCGATTCAAATTTGTGTAAGTCATGTAAAGGGCAGTTTCCCGGGTTCCTGTAGACCAATTAGAAAAGACTTTGGAACAGTCTGTAGGCTTGTTCATAGATTGACTAAAAAATAATACTTACTGTCAGAAGAGCATCAGGTAGGGTGCATTAGTTCTTATAGTAATGGAAGTTTCTTTTCTGAGCGAGTTTATTTCAAATGGAGGGGAATCTCATACGTAGTCGTCATACATAGTAATTTCACCACAACAACAGGGTATAGGGTAGGGAGGGTGTGATGAAGCTCACGGTGAGCTGAGGCATAGTGGACCTATTCTGTCTTGTATGTTGGTTTTCTGTGCAGTACTAGGTCATGTAGTGAAATGTTTCCTCTAGAGACGCCCTGTGCAGTACTAGGTCATGTAGTGAAATGTTTCCTCTAGAGACGCCCTGTGCAGTACTAGGTCATGTAGTGAAATGTTTCCTCTAGAGACGCCCTGTGCAGTACTAGGTCATGTAGTGAAATGTTTCCTCTAGAGACGCCCTGTGCAGTACTAGGTCATGTAGTGAAATGTTTCCTCTGGAGACGCCCTGTCAGCTGCTGCAAGCCCTAATTTCTTTTGTTTTGGCATTATTAGTCTTATTCATGATGAGTGTATTTTAGATTTTAACAATTTGTTAAACAGTATTATTAACTTTTGTCCCTGTCGGGTAGCATTTTTTTTTTTTTAAAAGAGAACTGCACTGATGATAGATGGAGGGATAAACTGGTCATGGCCAAGTACATAATTTTATGTTTTGTTGCATCAAACCATCACATCCTTTTTTCAACGTGAAAACAATTGTCAGTAACAGATTATAATGTACAAAATAAAAGATGTTATAATTTATTAATTCAGCTCAAGGTCTATGGCAAATATTGGTGATGAGTTCGAGATTTCAATGAATTCATATGCTGAGCAGTAAGGACTTGCATTGAAATGTTAGTAGGGTGAATTATCTCTTTAGATACTAATATCAAAGGATGACAATTTTTAGGGATTTTTCCATAACTAGAAAAAAATCGCAGATGTTTAAATGCTTCAGAAAATAGAAAATCAGTGTTGGGATACTTTGAGTTTGGATTATCTTAATCCCCAACGGATAGGAAGAGCAGAGATCAAACAGTGTCAAGCAGTATGGTAAATTAAATTGTCTGTGAATAACTGAGCTAGTGCACATTATTTCTTCGAGCTGTTTCCACAGTTTTCCAGAGTGTTTCTATAGACTATTTTGTTCTTGTATTAATCGAAATTTATTGTTTTTCTCACTTGTAGTAATAAATTTATGGGAATACTGTAAAGTGTTGAGGTTAGTGAGCTTAGTTTTTGTTACAAATTAACATTAGAATTAGAAAGCTGGTGGTGGTAGTTTCATGCCTGTTTCCACATTTTGTTGCTTCTTCTAACATTCACAACTAGTTCAGCAGAAGTGTACTTTGTGGCTGGGGTTCCAGCATGTGTGGAATCCTTCGCCTCACAGTGAAGCCATATAGTTGTTCAGACTGTTATCTTAATGGAAAGGTGCTCAGCGATTATTCTCAGATGCGACTGGTTGCATAGTTCACATAGTCAAACTGTTGGTAGGAAGACAGCGTGCTGTGTTCTGTAAGTGCAATATGTAGTGTGTTCAAAACTTTTGCTGTCAGTCTAGGGAATGATCTGTCATTGTCTGCCACCTTCAGCATGTGATGGCAGAGTTTTAAGGAGTTGAATCTTTTTTCAAGAGACGTGATGCCAAGACGGAATTTGTTACTAACGCTTTGTTTGTCTTCACTGGTAGCTGCTTTTGCCATCTACTTGAATCTCTGTTTTTAACCTGGAAGGTAGAGACGCTATTGTATTTGATATTTCTTTGGTTTCTTTTTTCAAACAGTTTTTCTCTGCCAGTGACCCTGACTTGGGTTTTGAAAGTTTTACCTTCTGAATAGCCAGTTTTAATTTTGATTTTGTGTAAAAATTATGAATTTGTTTGAGACTTTTCATTCAGTTGAGTTTTGTTGTATGCTTTTTTTTTTTTTTTTTTGTAAGGGGAGGATTTATTATAGCTAATCAAATGCAGATGTTGCCTTTAGAGTTGTAGGATCATTGCAAAGGAACAAAATAGCTTCAGAAATAAGAGTGTGCTTGAGATAGGAGCTGTCTCTACAGCTGTATTACTCATTTTACTTGTCTTTCATGTTGTTGTTTCTGCTAGTAGTGGTAGTTTTTGTGTCTGTCGTTCCTGCAGTTTGGGAAGAGTGTGTACTGGAGGAACGAGCTCACTTGGGTCTCCGGCTTGATGCAGAAAGTCAGCTGTTCCAGTATAGTCATTTATGTGGAGGGATATGGTTTGCGAAGGCGAGTCACAACGCAGAGCCCCCCCGCGTGTGTAGATGTGTAAAGTTTTACCCCTCTTAGCCATCACTTGTGTCAAATGTGTTTCGCAAAGTGAATATATTTTGAAAGGGCGTGTTATAGGTGGGTTTGTCTGCTTGTCTTGGTGTTTTTGCATGTCTGTGTTTTGTTAAGTGTGTGTGTGTGTGTGTGTGTGAGCAGACTAAGAGAAGCACTTCAAGCTACTTATAGATACAATATGACTAAGAAGGATGACCATGGACTGTGATATTCTTTTTGTTAACTCAAACTGGTTTCACCTTTGAGTTCGTTTTTTTTTTCCTTTTTTTTCGGGTTTTTTTTTTTCATTTTTGTTTTTCAGTTTGTCATAGTTCATCCCATATTTATTGTCACTTTTCCTTCACGATGTATTCATACCTGCTGCATACATGCGTTTGCTGGTGAGGTATGGAAGTGTACACAAGAATGTTGTGGTTATATGTGTGTAAATATGCATTTCTTATCATGAGTGCAATTCTCAAAATCATATATATATATATATAAATATAAATATCGATATCAATTTTTCATACAAGACTACACAGACATGCCCCTTGCACAGAGGCATGCATGTATGCTTGACTGATTTTGTGAGTTTCCGCCCATGAATGTGTAGAGAACACTGGTATTTTGTTTAGGGAGAAAGCTTTATATTTCTTTGAATACAGAGTTTACTGAATTGGGGGGGGAAATTATCTGCTGAGTTGATCAACTTTCGTGGAAAATTGGCCAACCAGTGAACTTGTAATGTAGTCACTTTAATTTGAGCCTATCAACTTTGAGTTAAAGGTGCTCTGTGAAATCACATTCAGAATGTATAGTCATGCGTTTATTAGCAATCACTTATCTGTGAGCAGGGTAAAATTGTAAAACATCTATTTAGTTTTCCTTCTATCGGAATAGTTGTAGGTTTCCTGATAAAGCTTTGATTGGGAAAATATAAACGACAAAACTTCAAATCAGGTGAAATTTAGTGTTAACATTGTTCTTTTGATCCTGAAATCTTGTGTCGTATAGGAGAATTGAGATTTGTGAAATCGTGTCTCCCCTTTTTTTGATTTGTGCTGCACGCGAGAGTTGGTGAAACATTCTCAGGGTAAGAGACGTTCAGTGCTGTGCCTGCAAAAAACCTTTAATTCAGCAAACTTGTTTAAATAGCGAAAGTCATTTTGAGAGATTAGCAAAAGGTTTTTGAGAGACTTTGGGGAAATTTCTGTCCATGTTTATAACTTAAGACGGTGTTATTGTGTCATTACTGTTATTATTTGTGGATTACAATTATTTTTTTTTAACGTAACTTAAGAGTTGAAATGCACGGCTTGCAACAATGAGTGAAGTATAGCACATAGTGTCCTCCACCTGTCCTATGTTCTGGTCCTCCCCCACATTCCCCCCTTTCTTCACAACGGGCTCAGCCAACAACAAACTTTGCTAGCATTGGGTTTATCAGCCGTGGGCCTTTGGACGAAGTGAGTTATAAATAGATGATTTATGTGTGTGTTATTGCACCTCTCGATACTTAGTGGTTCATTCATACACATTGCTTCTGTTAACCACATTCAATTCATGGAATATTTATGAATAGTATATCATTATATATATATATATATATAAATATAGGTTGTTGGTTGTTTTTCCTTCTGTGTACTTCTCTTTTGTTATGTTCTATTTTTTCAAACAATTGTCAGACACACTCAGTACTGCAATATACACTTTTCATTTTTTTAAAGTATGATATTTTTGCATTTGACTTCTTTTTTTTTTGGAAAGGGGGGCAGGGGAGCCTGTTATACTGTATTTATTTTATTATTAAAATCCGTCTAATTTATGTTTTTCCTCTCAAGGTGTATTATTGTTAGTGGAATCGGGGCTGAAGGGTTTCTGAAGTCTCCATGTTCATGCCTGCCTGCTGTCTGTTCTGACAAATGGTAGCAGTCCTCTGTTTCAAACTCTTCCAACTTTTTTTGTTTGGAAAATATTAAATTTGAGGATATAAGATCAGCTCAGAATATGGTAATGAAAGGGTGGTCTCTCTCTCTCTCTCTCTCTCTCTCTCTCTCTCTCTCTCTCTCTCTCTCTCTCTTTGTTTCTCTCTCTCTCTCTCTCTCTCTCTCTCTCTCTCTCTCTCTCTCTCTCTCTCTCACACACACACACACACACGCACACACACGCACACATACACACTTTGTCGGGGCCTCACGGGTAAGGTCTTGATTTGCGCTAGTCTCTCATGATCTCGGCTTCTTAGTTACTTGTATGCAACACCGAAGTAGGTTTGTTTTTGTTTTCTTTCTTTTTTTTTTTCTCTGCTTTTCCTTATTTTAAAGATTTTTATTGGAGGGGGTGGGGGGTTGGTGGTGTTTGGCAGAGAGTAAAAGTATAAGGGCACTGGATATGGAAAGAAAGTAAAGGAACTGTAGAGTTTATCATAGAGTTACTTATTATCCTCTTCTCCACTGCTACCATTTAAAAAAAAATTAAAGATATAATGTTTGTTCTTTTGTTGAAAGCCAAGGACTGAGAATCTCGTCATATGAATTAAGCTTTTTGTGGAAACGTGTTTCTTGTTTGTTTTTGTTTTTCTTCTTTTTTTCACACTATGGCTATATTTTAAATTTTGAACACAATTTTTCTTAACAGGTGGCCCTTTGTGCACATGCTCTTGTCAAGGATGCTTCGTATGTTTCTGTTTATTTCCCTTGTTTTTTGTTGTTGGTTTATTGTTTTTCCGGGGAAAGCCACACTATACAAATTGCTAATTTTTTGTCTTGGGTAACTGAATGACATTTGATATTACCGACTGCTCAGTTCGCCACTTTCAGGCTTTGCGAGCATCTTCACATTTCTGGTTGTACACTCTCTGGCTCATCTTGAAAGTTTTTGATGATGGCATTTGTTAGAATGCCACTCCAGACTGATCTTAGTGTGTGAGGAGAAAAGCAAGTGTAAATGTGTGGAGTGTAACGGAGTGGCTGTCTCTCTAAGGGCGTTTTGTATGTACATATGTTTTCTCTACCCCCCTTTAAAATTGTTTCATGGTTGTCTTTCTTTCTCATTGTCAGTTGAGAATCTGCGGCGACAGATCATTATTACATACAGTCAGTCAATGTTGGTTTATCCATGAATAGACATGACAGATCACACTCCTATCCTGCCCCCACCCCCCCACGCCCGCCCCCCCCGGAAACATTTGCAGAAATTGAGAAGTTGTGTGTCTGATGAGAAGGTCGTCTATCCTATGAATGACTTGTTGACCATTCCTTGTCAGTGTCTCAGTCCCCTGTGGACACACCGCCGCCACCACCACCACCCTGACACCCCCCCGACCCCCCACACCCTCCAAAGTTTTGCTTATCATGCCGTACCTGTATCATTTCTTGTACCTTGTGGATACGATACGCACAATGCTTCTCGTGATCAAAGCTATTTCAATGACAAAATAATATTCTTACTCTTTATGATAATAATAATAATAATAATAATAATGAACATACCTTGACTCTTTTTAGGCAACACAGATTTGTTCGTGTTAGCCTTGCTTTGACTGCAGACGCCAAGTAAATTTGTAGAGCTTGTTATGTCTTTGCTCCAGTTAAAAAGTTTTCTCCTCCTTGGAGTTGTGTGGATTTTTCTCTTCTATGTCTGCGATCCCATTTCTGTGTCAGGCATTCTCCTTGTGTCATTTACATAGAAACATTTTCTCAACAGTTAAATCAGACAGCGTCTTGCTTGCGTGTTACTTGTCTCAAGTTTGAGAAACCCTGGCAAGATTTTGTATGTGACTTTGGAGTCTCCAAGTTTCTTGTTTAGTACAAACAAAAAATGGATGTCGCTGACTGCCCTGTGCCTCTCCATTCATTAAGAGAACTGTCCTATGATTTTGGAAATGGTGTTATACTTAT